CGGCCGCCGCGCACGCGGCGCCGCGGGCGGCGCCGCCCGCCTCGCCGCCGCCGCCGCTGCCAGAGGCGCCGCCGCCATTCGCGCCCGCCGCGGGCGCGGACGGCGAGGAGATGCGCGTGAACCCCTTCCTGCTGACTTTCCGGTCGACGGTCACCGAGGGCCACTTTCTGGGGGAGGTCGCCAAGCTGCGGTGGCCGGTGCTGATGTTTGTGTTCCTGTTTGATTGCGTATGCTTCACCTTCCGCATCGCCGCCAAGCTGGCCAACCGCAGCGGCGGCGCCGACGGGGCGCAAGGTGAGGGCACATGGGGCGGGCGGGGACGGTGGTTTCGGGAGCCTCGCGGCGGTGTGCGTGATCGGAGCGCAGCGGCGCGCGCTTTGCGTGGGGCCGGCGTGCGCGCGCTGCCAGCAGGTGGCGGGACCCCAGCCATCCGGCTGCCGAATTTCTCGCTTTTTCACGCTGCAGGGTTTGGTCTCAATCCCTTTCGGCCCCTGGCACCCACGCTCCTGTCCCCTCCAGCCCCCCACACCACCATGTGCATTCCGTCGCTCCCACACACACACACACACCCTCGCCGCCCCCGCATGCGGCCGCCCCCAGCCTGCACCCAGCCAATGGAGATCGCCCGCGAGATGGGCCACCAGCTGGCGAACATGGGCATGCTGTATATCCTGCTAGGCCTGCTCAACCGCCGCGCGCGCCGCTCGGGCGACGCAGCGGCGCGGCAGGAGGAGGTGCTGCTGTCAGCCGTGATGGCGCTGGCGATCAGCAACCTGCTGGCCAGCCTGCGGGCGGACAATGCACAGGACTATGTGTACATGTCCTACTTCCTCATAGCCACCACCACGTTCTTGAAGATCAGATGGTGAGTTGATCCCGGGGGGTGGGGGGGCTAAGGGGCGCAAGGCATTCAAGAGGAGAGGGGGAGGCAGGCGGTTGCAGGGGCAGCAGGGGTAGTGGCAGCCTGGGGGCGTGACGGCGCCGGCGGCGGCAGCGGGAAAGGCAGCGGCGGTGGTGTGTGGCGTAGGGG